GCTGAGCATATATATATATATATGTATAATAGCCCATGACCAATTTTTTTTAAGTATAATAGCCCTTGATCATTAGGTGTGCGTGTGTTTCGTGGTCTGTTGGTAGAACAACCTCTCTGTAGGTCGTAAGTTCCCTCAGGTCACGGGTTCAATTCCCTCCGTGTGTACGATATGATACTCGAATACTTAGCACACCTAGATATGGTCGGGGCTCGTCTAGTAGCCTCCCGTCATTCCTTTAATAAATGTATATATATTAGGGGTTATTTGGTTGCGTTTATGATTTAAGTTAAGTAGGAATTACTAAATTAGATATATTCGGATTTATTAAATTCAGTAATGTTAAATACAAAATTATGCTTGGTATGATTTTATTTAAATTGATATAAATTCGTATGAATGTTTGCCATTTTATTTAAGTATTTAATACTTTATCATGTGATCCTTTAAATTCATCTCCTTGTCGGAGTCAATAACTCCCAGAGCCATTTTTTGAATTTAGGCTGACAGAAAGATTTGGAGGAGCTAAAACCCGGTTTGGTGGATTTATGTTCAATCGCACATAAATTCATCTTAAAACAGCTTACCAAACTCCTCCTAGCATAACATCAGATATAAAATACGAAAATTTAGATTTAAATACTTATACATATAAATATATAAACTTTTTATTATATTATAATTTATAAATGTCCCAGATTTAAAATATAGAAAAAATGGGTGAATGAAATTCTTTTCATTAATATTTACTAGTGACAATTACATATAGACCACCCAAAAATTCATATTTACAAATTAACTATCCTCTTTAATCTATTTTTTAAATTCTCACTCAAATATTAATTTTTTTTTTATGAGATTCTTAATAATTTGATAGTGATACACATAAATGAGTAGATAGGATAGTTAAAAAAATATCCCATGCATGATTTATTTGAAAATATCGAAGTTTATTGTGATCTGTGTCCTAATCTGCAATAACAAATCTTCATCAAGTGAAATGTGGAAAAATATTACATCAGGACTAGAGCTACGTTTGGATTAGAATATTTGACTGTTTTATGAGAATATTCCATCTGCGTTATTTGTAAAAATGATATGTTATTCGAGTATTATATGGTGTTATTCGATTATTTTGCGGAGTTATTGAAATATTCCATCGCGTTACTTGATTTGGGGCTGAAGTGTTATTGAAATATTCCCCCGCATTACTTGATTTAGGGCTGTGTTATTCTAATAACATAGTGAGCATTACTTGATTTGAGACAATGTTATTCCAAAATTTTTGGGTACCTTATTAATAACATGCGAGACCCAAATCAAGTAACCGAATGTAAAAATCCAAATAACAAAGTAAGGCAATGGAATTCTTTGAATTCAGTGTGTCAATTGCGTCTCCACAACTCGTTTCAGCCTCCAGACAAGGAAAGCCGAACTCGCTTCCATCAGTCCACAAGCTATGGTCGAAAGATCGAGAGGAAACATCCTTCTCTGGATTTACCAACGAAGGAAATATCTTAGGGTTTTTCCTAATGAAATTATTTGTTCACGAATGGAAGCCATTTATAATGCTTATGATGTCAAGCTTGGAGAGATACATTTGGGATAAACTTGGTGATAAGCAAGGTACAAAAAGTTTCAGATTCTCATACCTTGTTCCATAATACATAAAGGAGAAAAGGAAAGAGAGAAGGCTATTATAGTTTCCATTGATGCGGAGTTTGTTGTTTTCTGAGTGGTGATGGGTTCTTTCTGTAGACGACGAGCATTGGCTTTTATGTTCCTTTACTGGCTGACCTGCGCTTTCTCTCAGTCCTTAGGTGAGACCAACTTCGCCTATTGATTTGTTTTAGCTGTCGTCTTCTTGTTCCGTGTACATGCATCAAAGATTCTCTCTCTCTCGGGTGATTCGATGTTTCTAGGTTTTAGTTTTTGTGAATGTTCTGTGTTTGATGTTTTGTCTCAGTGGGCGGTTTCAGAAAGGTTAGAGGGGTGAACTTAGGAGGGTGGCTGGTGGTGGAGAGGTGGATCAAACCTTCCCTTTTTGATGGAATTCCCAATAGTGATATGCTGGTGAGTTCTGCTTTTTGGCCAATTTGTTTTTTCCTTGGGGATGTAGTTGGCTAACCGCTTTCTTCTTTTTCCACTAT